GTTTACTGCAGTCCTAATACACCTAGGTATATATACTTTGTTTCACTGGTTTCAGCGTTTACATGCCAGTTGGATATAGTTAATCTTCTGCAACTTATATGTTACTAGCGCTAGTCAACTAGCCCATTCGAACGCAGCACGCATCTTTAAAATATTCACTCTTAAAGCTCTGACTAATTAAAAAACACCCCTCCTTGAAAAGTTTCCGCTTTTTTCCGAGGGTTGGGGGTGTAAGGTGAGAGAGAATTGTTTGAAGTCGACTTATTCCTTTAATTGTTTTTAAGATGAGTTGATGTTTTTTTGTTAAAGTTAACAGCTTTTGATGATTGGTTTTTGCAAGATTAATGGAGGCTTTTTATTTCTCTCTACTGTTAATATAATTGTTTTGAAACATATTGTCATTGTATTCATTTAAAACTAGCTGTTACCAGCGACTACGTCCACGCATAAGATAAAAAAGTAGCCTATAATATGCCTGTCTATGTCAGCTACCCTTCAGTGAAACTCCGGTCGAAATCGGCTCTGCCGTTTCGTAGATTACCCGGAACTAACACAGCTTGCGGACAAACAGACAGACATACAAAAAATGCGATTTTTATTATTAGCAACAAAAATAATCTTCCCGAATTTTTCCTTTGAACAACAGACTTACAAACAGACATTCCAATTTTATTATATGTATAGATAAATATATTTAAACTTGTAAGTATGTAGTTTCATCACCAGTGGGGACGTATAGAGGACATAGTCACTCCTAACTTATGAGTTAGGAGTGACTTGGTCATAGTCAACGACGCTGTACTGCGGGTTGTTATACATGTAATAAAATTGGAATGTCTGTATATAACAGTAAAAAAAATATTTTCGTGATATAACCTTGCTAAGGAAGAAACAATTTATAACATTTTTGTTTGACCGTGAAGCGTATGTTAGCGCACAATCTCCGGAGCGGCTCCGCTGATTTTGCCGGGACTTTGCAAAGAATGCGAGGGAATATTTTGGGCTACTTTAATTCCAGACGAAGTGACAGGTTAGTAAAGGTTAAAGTTTATTTAAATGTGTATCAAGGAGTACAAGTTAACTTTTTTTATAAGAATCCAAACAAGCATCTGATCCCCTGGTGTTAAGGAAATCGATGCCAGAGAATAGAGAAACTGCAAATTTTAGTAAAAAATATCATTATAACCAATGGTTTGCCACTTTAGCCGGCGAAAGGTATTTTTATTTTTATAATATGAGGTGGCAAACGATAGAGGCCACCTGAAGCGACCGCTGCCCATAGACATCTGCAATTACAAACGCGTTGCTAACCCTTAATCGACAGAAAAGAAGACATTTCTCCTTCCTATGTGTCCATCCTTTTCCTATAAGAAAAGGGTGGTAAGAGAAACCAACTTTTATTAGGCCTCCGGCTCCACACTCATCAGACTGTACGCGGAATTGCTTCCACTTGACGCCTGTCTTCTGTGTGGTCGTGGTATTGCAGCGAGCTGACCCTACAGTGCGAAGACCCAACTAAGGTGTCGCTTGGTCGGATAAGAATACAGTATAAAAATATACACACAGATTAACTAGAAGACAGAGGGAAATTTAAAAAATAAAGCCAAAGATTAATTTACAATTTTAGTTTTTTTATTGTGAGGTTTAATCGTACAGTTCTGTTAACTGGCCACCGACAAATACAAATTGAAAAAATATAATAAAAAAAGTAAGATTTGATTTGAGATCCAAAACAATAGGGCATGAGGTGACATAAAGTAACAACGTAAAAATGTTTGCTTCGTAATAAATTGTATATTACGTGTAAAAGTCATATAAACAAGATAGTACTAGTTTAAATCTATTTAATTATAAAATAATATAGATAAAGAAGATTTACAAATGTACAGTATTAACTATTCAATATTTTTTTAGTAATTATTAACTAAAAAATTGTTTGTATAAAAAGCTTGTTACAAATCATATTATACTTCATACTATTATTATAAATGTGAAAGTTTAGATGGATGGATGTTTGTTAGAGTTTGTAGATTAAACTGCTGAACGGATATCAATGGAATTTGGCATAGATGTAAGGAATAGTCTGGAAGAACACATAAGGTACTTGTTTTTTTTTTCTAATACTACACGGACGGAGTCGCGGGAGAAAGCTAGTAATAAAATATTATATCTAAGTTGATAATGAAAAATGTAAAATACTAAAAACATGAAATATTATAAATTATATGAAAAGATGATAAAATATAAGACAGCAGAATTTTTTTTTCTTTTATTAATAGCATTTACATATTTCATTTTTTTTTCTAAAAGATTGTTTAAATAAAGTTGATTTAAATATACAGAATATTTTAATATGTTACAATTTTATTTTATTTATAATACATCAAATTAAGACATTCGAAATACTAGTGACATGCGAGATGCGAGGGCCTTTGTACAATGACGAAATGACAACTTCACCTTTATTTAAATCACTAACAAACAAACAGACAATACAATATAATAAACTGTCGGACACAAAATAAAAGCACGTCGGAGAAATTTCAACGTATAAATAGGTAGATGAAAAAAAGGTATCCGACTCCGCCTCTGTATGAAGCCACGCCTTTACGTAGAGGGGGAAACCTGGCGTATTCGCCAGTCGGCAGAAGCATTCGCGGTTCGCGTACGACGTTTCAGTGAACATTCAATAAGTTTCCATACAGATAATAATTTAAAAATCAAATACAATTAGCAATTTAGCAATATCAAAACGCATGCGAATTTGACAGTTGTTTTTTTTTAGAAAAAGGCAAAGGTCTCGTTGCCGTTCGGTTGTGTGAGTGTGTGTTAGATGTAATATATGTTACGAATGGCGGATTGTAGTGGAATATACAGCGTGATTTAAAAAGGTAAGCTTCTATATATTTTTAAAGCACTAATTATTATATTTAAGAGAAGCTCATACTTTGTTCTGTAATACTTTAGAGAAGGCGTAAACCTAAAAAGTTTTAAATTTAACATCTTGTGTAGATTTAAAAAAAATAGAACTACACATAAGAGACTGGACTTCGTGTATATGACTATTATTTTAAAATATCTACTTACATTATTAACAGAAAGTATTTGTTCCTCCAAAACTACTACCGATTTAAAAAAAAAATTCACTTGCGGCCAGCAATAAATATGTTTGTTTTTTTAATTGATATATTTTTGTGAAATATAAGTGCTTAAAAATGTTTGACGTCATTGCTTTTAATTTCTTTATATTATAAATGGTATTAAATTAATATTTCATACGTATACCTTTTTATTTGAAATAATGAAAGTAATATTTTTTTAAAGGGAAAAGCAATCTTCCGAAAAGTATTCCATCTTGTTTCTTGTTCCGGATATTACAAAATGTAACAGACTATTAAATTTATAACCAATCAATGTTTAAAATATACATCACAATTTGACGAATTGATAATTTTAATCTTTCATACAAAACTAGTGGCAAAGGTCAAAAAACTTTATCACCGAATTTAACGACGGGCAACATTCTGTGCGAAAAAAAAAAACAAAACCCGTTTTCAACCATTAAAGTGTCGCTTATAATGATTACAAGAAGTCAATAAAAATAAACAATAAGATTCAAATACGAAGGATAAGAAAAAAGTCTGTTTTTAATACTTTTCCGTTTGTATTTTTGTATGTATTGAAATAACACGAAAATTACTGTGCTGAATTAAAAAAAATCTTCACCGTTAGAAAGGTAACATAGGCTGTTTATTATTATTTTTATTTTCACGGGGTCGAAGTCGCGGGCAATAGCTAGTCTTAAAATAAAGCGGATAAAACATTAAATCTATAGATACATTTATATAAATGTGTTTGAAAATGTTCTCGTCATAATAATTGATTAAAAAGTTTGTTAGAAAATAACGATGAAATAAATTTAAAAGCACTTTTTTTTGTCCGAATAATTGTGACAAAAGACCGTAAGACTTCCGTAACAAATGCAAAGAAATAAATTAAAAAGCCGCATACAATATGAAAAAACAAATATTTAATTTGCGCCGAGCAATTAATCACTTGAAATAATTAATTTATATAACACTTATATAAAGTTATTTGTACAGCTGTATTGTTTTAAATGCGAATTTATTGCGAACCCGAGCAGACGATAATGTTTATTTAAATTAATGTAATGCTGGCCAGTTATAATTTTTTCTTTTTTTTTTACATTTGAATTCGAAAACAATGTCATAACGTTTTTAGGTTAGGTCTTACTTTTTTTATTACTGCGTTTAACTCTTGGTGTAATTTTTTTTTATGGAATAAGCAAATAATTCGTTTAAAGTTATTTCATCTGTGTCTTCTAGATATATATTAGACTAGCTGTTTCTCGCGACTTCGTATGTTATGTTATGTTACTCAGTGATAAAGCATTGAACGGTGAAAGAATTTTTGAAATCGGCCAAACAGTTTTTGAGTTATTTCTATACATACAAAAATACAAATCTTTCCTTATTATAATGTTAGTATAGATAGCGTAGAAGTTGGCTATTGACTGCGATAGTAACTTAACTACAAGTCGATTTAAAATCGCAATTAAATATGACATACGAAGTACACACACAATAGTTACTTCATACTAATATTATAAATACGAAAGTTTAGATGGATGTTTGTATGTAGTCTAAAATAGCTATAACCTATAGGACATAGTCTGGAAGAACAAATAGGCTACTTGCTTTAGTTTTTTTTAATTCCACGTGGACGGAGTCGCGAGCCAAAGCTAGTTTACTATAAATAAAGTCTCTATGTCAAGTATGTTTAATGCTGTTTACATTTTCTACGAATCGGCGAAAATATTTGACGATCATAGGTGAAAAAAATGTTTTTCTGGGTGGTACCGCCGTGCCGTGGTAGATCGCTAGAAATTTTATAAAAAAATAACTTCCTTATTTTACGCTTTCGTCATAAAATACCTATTAATTCAATATTTTCTTTCTTTAAATTGTACTATTTTATATAATTTATTTTTCTATTAATTCAAATGAAAGGGCCAATATTTTTTTAAAACAGAGAATTAAAAAAGAAACATTTTCTGTGGCAGAATATTCCAAGGACCTGAGCCTTTGACGTCAAATTAAAAAATAATCTGGATTCCACAAGCATGTGAACAAAGAACAATGTAAGAAATAACATTGTTGTTATAATAACGTAATAATTTATTATATTTGGAATTTATCTACGTAAGAGATATAATTTATATTGTGTAATCGGCATTGACGATTTTTATTCTGTTGCACTTGTTACAATATAATAAAATTTAAATTGTTTGATTAATGATTTTAATACCTCGTATTTGGTTATATTCCAAATTAAAAAAGCACATTTTTAATTGTATTAAATATTTAAGAAATGTAAATGACGTAACCCCACTATTTAATTGTAGATTGTTAAAATCTAAGGATAGAGTAGGTAAACTTTTTTATTTTATGTATTGTATTTTTTTCAATAATGTACTTGTTTTGGTTTTTATCTTACTAATATTATAAATGAAAGTTTAGATGGATGGATGTTTGTTAGAGTTTGTAGCCTAAACGGCTAAACGGATCTCGATGAAATTTTGTGTTGATGTAGAGGATAGTGTGGAAGAACACATAGGCTACTCACTTTTGTTTTTTTTAACTCCACGCGGATCGAATCGCGAGCGAAAGCTAGTTAATCAATAATTGTGAAATGGTCTTATAGGCTAGTAATATAAAACGCTTCTAGTGACCCTTAAGGTAAACTAGATGGCGTTACATGTTCGTAGTTAATGGCTTTTTGTATTTACGTAGACTCATTAGATTCTTAAAGAATTTAATTGGCATTGTAAAGTGAAATTAAGTAGGAAAAAAGTAAAATAATCAAGTGTGACTAAATGTACAAAACTGTACTTTTTAAGTATTTTTTTAACAGATTAATGTAATGACATTCTTATTAGAATAAAAGTATTTTTCTATATCTAAACTATTATAATAAAGCGTAAACACACACTTCTTTATTGCCTAAGATGTCAGCAATTACAGCATATTTTTGAATAATTCTTTTTATTAATAAAAAGGTCTAAACTTGCGTCACGCTTTAGGCTATATATTTTCACGTCATTAAACTTAGGAGGTAAATATTTTGGATAGAAGCCCTAATGTGGGAAAGAGACCATAAGTTGCTGCCAACATCAATAAAGCCAGATTGTCAAGGTTTGTCATGTCATTTTGCCATTTGCTATTGATAATTTGACAAATGTAAACAATAAAATAAATTTTTCACAATAATACGCGGATGAAGCCGCACGGAAAGAGCTAGTCATAGATACAGGAATTATTTTTTTAATTTTATTTCTGTACAGTAAAATGTAATCATAAGTAACCTATTTTGAAACGTCATAAAAGGACTCTACTCAACCTTATTGTTCTGCCCTCGTGTGAAACATGTCTCAACGTGAACTTGAGTTCGAAAGCTCTGCTCCGTTGACGTTATTGAATACAATTTTAGTACTGATATTAATAGCGTGTGCGGAGCTGAAGAAATACGAAACCCTTTGAAGCCAGCTTCTATTCTTAATTCTGGTTGGATTTTAAATCGTTTTTTTAGCATTGTCGCAAACGAACCGGGCTGTAAATGCGAGACATGGAAACATAGAGAAATTGTATATTCTTTTATTATAAACATACTAGCTTTCGCCCGCGAGTCCGTCCGCCTGGGATTAAAAAAAAGTGAATAGCCTATGTGTTCTTCCAGACTATCCTCTACATCTATGTCAAAATTCGTCGAAATCCGTTCAGCCGCTTAGGTTACAAACTCTAACAAACATCCATCCACCTCGGCTGCGTGAAATTAAAAAAATAAAGCCTATGTTATATGATAAATAACCTTTCTAACGTTGAAAGATTTTTAAATTGCCTCAGTATTGATGTGAATCAAATACAAATCTTTCCTCTTTATAATATTAGTATAGATTTCGTTCCGTAAAATAAAAAAAAATTATAAAAATGTAGACTATGTTATTGATAACGTAACTTATGGTCAAAGAATTTTTGAAATCTGCAGTAGTTTTTGAGTTATTTGAATGCATACGAAATATAAATATTTCCTACTTTAATATTAGTATAAATATAAACTTACCTTTTACCTTGAATCATTCTATAAAACTGCATCAAAACCCGTAATTTAAAAGGGATCATCACCATCATCACCAGCTCACTATACGTCCCCATCGAAGGGCTCGGAGCCTACCCTAATATGGGGTGACTAGGCCATAGTCAACCACGCTGGCCAAGTGCGGGTTGGTTGACTTCACACATATCTTTGAACTTCTTCACCGATATGTGCATCACGATGTTTTCCTTCACCGTAAGAACGTTGGGTAAATTATGTACATATGAAAATTCGATAAATCGAACATCACATTGGTACAGCGGGATTCGAACCCAAGACCTGTAGATTACAAGTCAAGTGTTCAAACCACTGAGCCACCGACGCTCTTAAAAGGGAAATATCTTCTTTGCGTCCTGTAGATAACAGGCATCTACAAATGTCTACAAATGTCTACTGGCGGTTACAATTTAAGCGAATTCCGTTGTCTGTTAGTCTAAAAAACCCTAATAGTCAAGTTATTAACTTCAGGTGTAAACGTCCCTTTGTAACAGATGTGTTATTTACTTATATGTAACTTAAAAAAGGTGTTTTTCCTGCATTTTCCCACGACGCCCCGCTTGTGGATAAATATTCATGAAGTAATCAAGTGAAGCAGACGCCTAATACAGTAAACATGTACTCTAGTAAAGGTAGACATAAGTAAATTCCCTTACTCTATATGGAATATTAAACGGTTATGTGACACAAATTCATAAGTTTTGGTAATATAAATGTAATC